GGGGGGGGGTGAAAAACAAACGCTGCAACAAATGAAGTAGAGTTATTGCAAATGCTAAATGGACTGTACTTATAGGGCACATGTTTAGCCAACAGAGCTAAACAAAGTGCATTACAACACAATCTGTCCTCATTTACCCACATAGGCATATTCATACAGCACTCTACTACATCTCTTCAAAGCAAACTGCTTAAGATTGCCTTCACACACCAACTGGGCACAGTGGAGGTAATGAGGGGCTCTGTGTCATTTTGACATCAGACTATACTTCCAGGATGCAGCAATCACTCACATCAAGAAGTGCTTTCTAAAAAAAACAAAACCAGAAATCATTTTCAAGGGCAGATTTTTAGCTTTCCATTAAAAATGCATACACTTATCATAGGCATGAATGCATATTAGTGTTACATTTTTAATTATTAATTCGAGCTTTGCTTTTTTTTTCCCCCCAGGGTGGAATGAATAAACATAAAAATCAATTCATTAAAATCATTGTGAATTTTCTTTAATCCCCACATCGTAAAACTGCACACACAATTTTCAGCTATATCCATGCCATCACCTAAATCTTTTAATAAGTGGTGCTGAAGGTTMATGATGGTTTTGACTTTACTAGGCCAAGGCCTATTAACTTCCTGTTAGTGATCGTGCTGGCAGCAGCCGTTAGCAGTTTATCTTTTGCCAGATTTTAGAAAAAGMGTTTGACAGCAGCCATTAGATGGATCAATACTCATCTGTCATTCTCAAATGAAAGGAAATTGGCTAGGCTGCTCAGGAAACTTGACATAAACTACAAGCTCCTCAGTGAAGCTTGTTTTTATATCACCATGGACTGAGAGGGTGCTGACAGAGAAAGAAGGCCCTGCTGCTCCAAATGCAACACCTTAAAGTTTAATGGACAAGCCAAACGCCTTCTGGAGAAAATAAATAAAAATTGGTCTGAGGATTAAAAAAAATTAAAAAAAAGATTCAGCTCACAACAACAAGAAGTAGGTTTGGAGGAACCAAGGCGGGCTTTTAAAAACATTGTATCATTAAGCATGGAGGTGGTAGCATAAATCCACAACTGTTTACTTTGTGTTTTACATACCTAATGCCTTTGATGGATGTAGCAGTGAAGTTCCACTCATGGATTCCCTTCTATAAATAACAAAATATTTATCTTTCCACATTATTCCCAAGCATTAGGACTCAGTCACCCTTTGCATTTGTGTTTGCGCATTCTGATTCAAGAAAAGTACAGACATGAATAGACCTTACAGTTTCAGCAGGAGAAACATGCCAGATGGAGACGTTCATCTCTTCAGCCTCATTGTTAATCGACACATAAGAAGGCTGGTAAACCTTGGTCGGCTCCAGAATTAACACCTGCGCAAAAAAATAACATGATTTAGCATTAGTAACAAATAGATKATTTCTGAACATCTGTTGCTGCAACTTTTTTTTATTTTTGTACAGGAAAACGCAGTCTGTTTGTGGTGCCTTGTGTGGCTTCAACAATGATGTCCATCCAGAAGTCAAGTCTCTCTCGTTGGGGAGAATGTTCCACTGCTTGCTTTTTAAATCTCTGGATTAGCTGCAGGTTCTGCACCACTGACCGCAAATACCTAAAAAAAGATGCCCATTAGGTAAATCAAAATTATTGAGGCCAGTGAGCATCACTAATCTTCTGCAAACATATTCCGTTTTACGAAATAATCGAACTGACAGGAGCAATGTGCAAATGGAGTGAACTACAAAAAATAATAATAAAGTAAACTTTGTCTAACTGATTCGAAGTTTTACTAAATTTCATGAACGATGTTCCTAAGTCATTAAGTCACAAGTTTTGTACATAAACAACTTTACCAGAGCGGTGGCTTCAGTTTGAAGAGCTTCTCAGCAGCTTGAGTTGCTTTAGGGATATCACTAGCTAGCATGCTAACAGTGAAAAACTGGCCCACATCCCAGTAGTTGTTCATTTTCTCCAGGGAACCTTTGCGCCCCAGCAGGCTGTTCAACCTCACACCTACAGAAATATAAAAATATTAATATTAATTAAACAGTACCAAACTAACTACCTTTTTAACATCGACCAAAACATACAGTTGCATCCAGTCAGCCAATCAATCATGCAAATCATCTCCCAAACTTTAACATAAGTAGAATAAAAGTTCTTTTGAAAGTATATTACATTCTGAAAGCAGACACATCAGGGGATGTGTAGAGAGTAAACCCACATAAAATTTGTCTGGCACAGATCTGGTCCACACAATGAACTAAGCATTCTAACACTCGGCCCAGGTATCCCAATGAATGATGGCTCTTTGGTGGCCCAGATGTGGTCTATGCACGTGCCGGCACCACATAAACCAAACCACAACTGGACCCATTGTTGGCATGCTATGTTAAAATCAGTAGCTATGTTTACATGCGCAAAATTCTTTGATCTGATTGAAATGTATTCGGATTAAATAATTGGAATGTATCGTTTACATGGACACAATCTGATCTRGATGAGTGTTTACATGCACCAGGCTTTTATTCAGAATAGAAGCACTGACATGCACAGTTGCTAAATTTCCCTTAAAAAAAACACAGAAAAAAGTTCTACTTCTGTGATGAACATAAACAAATGTCTTCTGAGCTGAGAATGGACCTGCGACAGGTTTTAATAATGGTGGAGACATTACAGCACTCTCTGGTTGAGCTGCAGGTGACGCACATTTTTTTGTTTGTTTGTTTGTTTGTTTTTTGCGAAGCGGCGCAGGCTGTGTGTCTTCCTTCTTTATGGAATGAGAAAATGGGAGGAAAAGTTCTGTGCTGTTGGAAACTCCCTCCCTCCATAAAATACCAGAAACTGCTGGATGAAAGTCAGCAGACYTGCGCAGTCAGMTCAGTTTTSCACAATCAGAATAAAATGATCAGATTATGTGTATACATGCACGTCGTTCGGATTATCAATCAGCATAAACCACCTCTCTCATTCCGATTTCAAATTCATTCGAATCGAGCTTAATCGTGTCAGAATAATCCAAATGGGGTGTTTGCATTTTTTCCGAATGGCCGTTTAATCCGATTACTTATGTCCATGTAAACGTAGCTATTGCCACCGTTGCCAGACCAGGCCCACAGCTGTTTGACAAACCATTTGCCATGCCATCCGTCAGACAGCAGTGCCAGGCTGAGACCAGATCTGGCCCTCACCTGTCTGCTATGTGTAAAGCCGTGTTTTGCTAAAAGAGGGTGGTCACCTATTTTTCTCAGTTCCATGGAGCTCTCAAACTGCTGGCCAGCAACTATGAGGAGGACAGCAAGGTTGATGCCAGAATAGAGAGTCGGCTGCAGCTCAAACCCCTTCCTGTACCTGTGTACATGTGTGTGAAACAACAGATAAATAAGCTGTGAGAAATAACTCAACTAAGCACATTGTTTTCTTGGATTCTCACCACTGTATAGCGTTGTCTCTGTTTATAGTGTCTTTGCAGTCTGAGTCAAGAAAAATGTCCTTATAGATTCGTCCACAGAGACAGAACATGTCCGGTGCGGGGTGTTCACAGGATTGCAGCACCTGAAGCATCACTCTGAGAGCCTGCTCCCGGTCTCCAGGACTGTTCCTCCTGCACACATCAACAAAAACGGTGATCAATCAAGTTTGGATAGAAACAAACACAAAATACTTCATTTGCACACATAAGACTATATTACTCTACAAACAATGAAAAGATCATCATTTTGTCTGCACATATATTTTTCCTAAATACTAATATTTTATAGCAAATTATGAAAGTAAAAAAATGTACAAAAAGATCACAAATATAACTTCAAATTTTCAAAAAAAGAACACAAAAAGTGTAACGTGTTTCTTAAATTCTAATGCATTTGGTGRCTACCTGTTGAGGGCAAAAGAATAGTGGAACTGGATCATGGGCTGAGTGGCCAAATCACAAGTTGGCAGAGACTCTAGAGTTTGCACCAGCTTCACCATGGCATCATAGTCCTGTTGACCAGTTAAAAAAAGGAAATGCTCATTTTAAATTGACTAGTGTTAGTTTAATTAAAAGACTAAATTAGATGTTAGTACCTGTATGTCTCTGTAGGAAAACAGCAAGTTCATGACGATATCCTGCGTTAGAACCTCTGTGTTATCCATTCGCAGTTTGATCCGGGCAAGCTCCTTGGCCAGCTCCTCTCCCTGGTATTTCTCCCTGGCTTTCCTGATGTCATTCAGGAGTGTGTCTTTGAAGGATGCGCTGAAAAAAAAAAGATAACGCTGTATAGAAAAAATAATGTTTTCCTTAAATGAGAAGTGGAGGAATGGAAAGAATTCAATGTGTATTTATAATATGCACCCAAGTTTTAAATACTGAAATCTTGTGAGCTTTCTGAGTTTTTATTGAGGATGACTTGTTTCTGACACACCGATTTTTAGTCCAATGTCTGTAACACAAACTGAGTTAGAGACCTTTTTGCATCACATGATGTCTGTTAACTGTGGCATCTTAAACTGGGCTGACACCCAGTGGTAGATCTGCAACCAGAATTTACTTCCTGAGAGTTTCATTAAAATGTATTCAATGGATTAATGGGATTAATGAGATATTTTGCAAACAGACAGTGTTGCTTAAGAATTTTTAGATTGTAATAACAACTTTGCATAGGATTAGTACAACGTTAATTTTAAAAGAGTGATTTTAATTTATTTTTACTACATACAGTTTATTGATTTCATTTAAAAAAACAAAACACAAAACACATTACATACAACAAAACAATGCAAATCAAATAAAATGAAAGGCAGAAGATGAATAAAAAAATCTTATAATATCTGCTCCTACTTACAAAAAATTATGTTAATTTAAAATAATAATAAAACAAATAAAAAAAACAAAAGTTCAACTCCTCAAACAGTAACTCATACAAATACAAATTAATCAATTTCATATTTCTTTAACAAATTTACTTTGATCTTTTTTTAAAGGAATTAATTGATCCCATGGTTTTATAATCGTTTTCCAGATTATTCCATAGTCTTATACCTTTTACTGAAGCGCATCTGTCCTTCAGATTTGTTCTGATTTTTGGTTTAACAAACATTTGTAGTCCCTTCAAATTATAGCAACTTTCCTTTTTAGCAAAATTAGATTGGATGTTTGATGGTAACACATTTCTATTAGCTTTATAACCTGCAGAATGTTATAAACAACGAACTCATAATTTTTTTACAATTTTAATTGATGAAACAAGGTATTATGTTTGATTTATTTATTTATTTATTTATATATTTATTTATTTATTTATTGGTGGTTACGTGTTAAAAACACTTGTCATTGTATGTGTGTCGTTCTTTCTCACCATGACGTCACATGGATGTCCTTCAGCAGGCTGGTGAAGCGGTCAGTCAGGGGGACACAGAGGGGTCCCAGCAGGTTGTCCCAGCTGGGCTGCATGTACTCGCTGGCCCTGCGCTGGGCGTCACTCTCGCAGCACATGTACTCGTGGTTCGGAGTCACAATGTAGGGGATGAAGTAGTAATTACCACTGGATGCCTTAAAGGTGAAAGCAAGTGACGTTTAAAGGGAAACAAAGAGAAATAAGAGTACTGGATTTTAAAAGACTGTAAATGCAGATGTAATGCAGTTAGTCTTTGGGTAAACACACAGGCAGAGTCCTGACGGCAGGTGGAAAGGGAGTGCAGATGGAAAAACGTTTGAAGCAGATGGAAGATTAGAGAGTCACTAATGAAAAGGATGAGTTCAAGCAGAGGATAAGAACCCCTGAGGTTGTCTGGGAACATCATGAAATTATTAAAAAAGTTAGCACAAGCTAAATGACTACATGTATTTGCATTTGTTTGTTCTTTAAATAGCAGCTAAATCCTTTTCATTTTTAGACTAAGGTCAAAAACCAAGAAGAAAAATGTTAAAATCAGACTAGCAGCCAATTATTCAGCAGTACAAGAACTGCAGAGCAAAAATGCTTCATAAGTTTAGTCTGTCCATAAAGATATATTTATTTTTAAGTTAATACATTTTACATTGATAAGTATGACAGCACGACAACAACCAGAAAACTATAGAGCTCAGTGTCAAATGGCATAAAAAGCTGAAGCTAAACAGATTAGTTCAGTGCAAAAGCTTAACAAACGAAAGTACATCCCCAAATGTTATGTGTTTCTACATTACTTAAAGCCAAAATGTGGTTTTACAGTTAATAGCTGATCACTGCTATTTTGTAACCAGGATTGAAAACCATAGAGACTACTTTTACCAAAACAACAATACTAACATTACTCTGGGGAAAAAAAAGCCTGTACGATGAGTCATTAGAGTTCTTTGATGGCTCCGCGTAAAGTACAATGAGTGCAACAATACTTGCTTTTTATTTATAGGATGACAAAAATATAAAACCTAACCTAAACCTTAATATTCTAAGTTGTTTTTTAAACATATGTCTATGAAATAAAATATTATATTAATAAAGCACAACCATTTATTTAAAGAGCTACTGTATCTAGGTATTATTTCTTCAAAAATCTTCCACAGGAACTACAG